TGGTGCCGCAAGCTCGATTCCTTGTGAAGTTCAAAGACGGTAGGAGTTGAACACAGCTTAGTTAACCTGAAAATCATAATCAACGACGTAACGCTAAACATTCATTGAGTTTGGGGCCATCGGTGGTCATAAGCCGATCGATATCGGCGAAAGAGAATTAGTTTTTAAAGGCCGTTATGATTTTTAGATTCCCTCCTCACAAATGAAAATAATTGTCTAACTTCATCAAGGAAACTACTCACAAGGTTGCTGAAAACTCTTCGACAGCTCATGACCGGTTTTGCCCTTCTTGGGGATCATCAGGTAGGCGCAGTCCCCGAGTTTCCGTCGACCTTATATTCTGCTTAAACCAAAATTGGAATGTTTTCGAGAAATACGCTCCTTTGCAAATCAATTTGGCTTTCACGGGAGACTCAATTGAATCTCTCGTTTATGATGTGTTCCAACAGAATGTGCTACACACAGGCTGCCTCATGATACAGTTAGCACGATATTCCAGATATCTCAGTATGTTTTCATAAAGGTTGACAAAAACTTTTCGACAGCCCACGACCGGTTTTTCCCTTCTTGGGGCTCATTAAGTAGGCGCAGTCCCTGATCTACTTGAACCCAAATTCAGCTGGAGGACATCATAAACGAGAGATCCAATCGAATTGCCCGTGGAAACCAAATTGATTTGCAAATGATTGTGTTTCTCGATAATATTCTAACTGTTTTTTGTGACTTATTCGTATAGGTGATTTGTTTACGTATTATTCACGTATTGTCGAGGCCAACAAAAACCTCCATCCGTAAAATGAAATGAAATAAAACTTTTCAACTTTTTGGTGAATGTGAATCGCCCAAACTGGACGAAGGATGCAGGCAACTCTGCGGCTGTATTAATTTGTGTAACTTGCTGCAGCCCGATCATGCAAATTATGCGGGAGGTTCATCTCTGTATGTATATTTTGTTCTATACCCCATTCACGACTGAACGGATGCCTAAGTCTGCGCCATGGTGGTCCAAGACGTGTCATTATGAGTTCTCTCTTAAACTGCTGGATATGACCCTGGGGTTATCCAAGCTATGTTTACCGTCAGCATGGTTCTGGACTACAAATGGCGAGGGATAACGAGCTTGGCTTTGGCCTCGCGGAGTTTCATGGTGGACTGCTAATTGTGTCGTCAGCCACTGAACCCCGGCGTAAACCAGGGACAGGCCTGCAGCTTTCCGTTCAAATTTTCCAACGAGACTGTTGTTGCTTTTACAGTACAGCGGAAAACCAGGCCGATACGCGCGACAAACATGCTGTCAGGGGTTCACGATGCCTAACCACGTGGCGAACTTCAAATTACTTCGATCACAGCAAACTCTTATCCAAATCAGGCTTACGCGCCTCATTAAGAGGCGACCATCTACCTCCTCTGAGAAAAGTCACTGGTCCAAGTTGAACGATGCAACTGTAAAGATAGTTGGGCCTCCTGATGATAACATATCTCTTGCCAAGAATTCATGAATTCTGCAGTGCAAGGCGTTCTATGCGTCTTGAAACCAAGGGGAGGTTTTTCACTGTTACTATTACTGGGAGGCAGGCGTTGCTGAGAACAAATTTATTACATTTTTTGCTCTATAAAACGAGGATTTCGGAGGTTACAAACTCGTGGAACTTTGCTTGTTTGACACTATTTTTGAGTGCCTACTGTCATTGTACAATGCTTTGTGGGCCTCGGAATATAAACGAGTTTCCTAAAATATATGAAGCCTCTGTGCATAAAGAGCAATTTTTGGCTGGAGATCTGGGCTCTCCGAAGATGTAGCTAGAAATTAATAGATTGGTCGTCTTACTACAATAGAGATTGTCGCGTGCTCGACCAGATCGAGGACGTGGATACGCTACAGAATAAAAATCGCGGAACTATTCAGGCACGTGTCTCCAAAGAGAGCTAGAGAGCGTTTCAATTTAGCACGCTTCACGTAGAGTCATCGTCTCTCGCGTCTGACCAGGATGCAGTGACCCTAGCGTTACACTACAGACCCAGATTTCAATTAGACTCTCCCAACAGCCAAAAATATAGACATACATGGATTTTTAGGACACATTGTACTTGGATCCTGTGATTCAGTTCAACCGGAATTTACGGAATATTTTTTTGCGAATCTTTCGGCAACCACGCAGTACGCTTTTTGGCGAGGCCCGGGACTGGGCCACAACATTAATGAGTCATGTGCGTGCCGACCCTGAGAACAAACATGAAGATGATCACTTCGCAATGGACAAGCCTCAGTATCACACCGATCGATATGATATACCGGGTTATCCCTTAGACACCGAGGATCAGTTTGAAAAGCTGGTGGGCCAAAAAGCCTGCAAAGACCACATTTTGAGCCAAGAGACCATTATCTTGGCTGAGACAGGCTATCCGCGGCCGCCGACGAAAGGTATTTCTACAGGATTTTGGGCATCAATGCGTTATGACTGGCCCCCGGAAAATCCACTGCTCACCAGTGTTTGTGGGATTTCGGGAATCCAGTAGCTGAAGTTCATCCACCAGCCGGTTGAATGGCCACCGGGAGCTGATGGTGGTGGCTGGGAAACGAACATAAGGGATATCTAATGAATCGTGCACAATTTTTCTTAGCGCTTATATGACTGATCTCGGATTACCGAGAACAAACTGATACGGAGCAACCACAAAGCCTGTAGGGAGGTGCAAATGTGTTTACCAGCAAAGGTGTCAACCGTCTTTGGAAGTTGAGGGTTTGGCCCGTTAGATGTAATCAGTTAATTTAGAACTACATCAATTTGTTAGTTTCAAAACAAATAGCCTAGTTCAAATTTCTCATAGCGAAGGATGAGTGTACAGGTAAACATTCAGAAGTCCATGCCTGGAGCAAGCCGTCGCTTTTCAAGATTTTTATTGCGTCACAATGCCAAAACGTATGCATGGGCTAATGACTGTGCCCAGGCATCTCCCTGGTACGCTTGAGACCGCCAGGGTGATGCATTTACTCACACAGGATATAATTAGCGTTAACTAGACAACTGTTGATCACATTGCTAGAACCGATCATTCCGGGTGCGAATGAACGATCGCCCACTATCGGGCGATACATATAAAGCGCGCATTGGCGTCACAGAAATATCGTGGTTCTGTTTGGCACGGTGCTTGCAGCTAGTGGTGGAGTGTGTCTGATAGCGGGGTGATATGAAGAAGACCTGCAGTTCAGTATGGTATAGAAGATCCATTCAGCGTGCTATGTGTCACCTAGCGATAAAGTGTTTATGAGCTCAAAACGGTTATTATGCGGCACTTAAGTAATTCCTGGTGCCTTTGCCAATGTGAAAATTTCGTACATTGCACACCAGAGTGGTAAGTTCCTTGCGGAATTATTTGGCCACACACTACCGAACTTCACAGGATGGTGTTCTGTATTTCAGCTGTGACCTGAGGGCATTAAAATTTTCGGTTAGTCGTCGGTTTACAGGAATTAAGTCATGCGAAAGCGGAGTTACCTTATGAAAATTTCAAGAATGTATGACATGACTGGTGAATAATTTCCGCGTCTCCTTAGCCAAGACCAGCTTGCGCAACCATGGTCCCCTGTGCAGTTTCTCATCATTAAATGCCCCAGATTTTTATACTATTTTGATTATACGACCTACACTGGGTTTTGGGGTTGGCTAGCCTAATTTTTTGGTACACTAACTCGCAAGGTTTGGTGGCTTCTCCCGCTGGGTGCACCGACACTATAGTGTCGGTAGCTATATATATATAGCTATCCTTCAAACGGCTAGTTAACGCGTTCTCAAACGCTTTGAAGTATGAATACTGGATAGCACCAAATTTCCTTCAAAAATATCGAAAGTCATGCTAGTAATCTACTGATTCATAACATCAGGACGTTAAAAGTGAGTACGTGCCAGAGACCGCGAACGAGGATTAATCAAGAAAGATTCCAGCAAAAGCAAGTCTGTGAAACTCTTTGGTTCGGCTCACATACGGGGATTGCAGCATTTCAATATAAGCTCTTCTTTGACACAAGGGTTTTGGATGCCCGATATAGATCTGCCAGCTTTAACGCTGTGCGGAACTCGGTAGTCTCTGGCCATGTGATGTGATTTGCCTTAGGCATTTTGGCCCATCAAGTTTGATGACACTGGGGGATGTGTTTCTACTTTTGTGAGTACGTAGCACTGTTCCAGTTCCCTCCCCCTCTCAGATTCTACCGCAGGGTGCCTAGATTTTTTCACTTTCCCACTTCGGGTGCCTCATATTGTAAAACGTAGACTTTAGTAGTGTTATTGATTTGCTAGAGGAGCAAGACTAAAGAGGATCCCTTAAGGAGGAAATTTTGGTATTTTTTGTCGCCGATGATGATAAGAGATGGTTCATTGAGTGGTTCAGCCAGCAGCGGCAAACCTGCGGTATATTATTGTGTAGTAGTGAACTGCATGCAATCAATTGGCACGACCCTGGACACATTCAAATCATGAATTAATCAGTTGCTTCTGTGCCTTTAGCTGAAATTAGAGTCATCATCTGTTGCTCACTTCTCCAACCACAACGGTAATAGCAAGTTTAATCATAGATACCCGCTTGATGACGGACGAGGACTTGTGCCTCTCAGGTGAACGACAGCCACTGACCGACAAGAACAAAACCGACCCGGGAAACTTGGGCAAAAGCCTCGATCCTGTGTATCAATCCGTGAATCCCTGACTCAAAACTACATATATTCACGGGGGAAACCCGGGAAATCCCGCGAAACCTGGGCAGCAGGAACTTGTCAGTTGAGGCCGACACGGAAGTCGTTTTGTCCCTTCCCAGATCCGACCTGTGCACACAATAGGACTTCAGCCAAAAATTAACGATCGTCGTTGGATGAAGATTTGTTTATCTATTCAAACTGAAGGTCAAATGCCTCGCGTGGGAATACGTCCCGCGGTTTGGGGCGCGCTATTCGCATACGTGAGAGGTTACGTAAATGCTTATTACCGCTCCGACTTATTTACCTAATGGAACGATACGAGAACCTAGGGTTAGTTGGCGAAGGAAGCTACGGCATGGTCATGAAGTGTAAGGACCGTGGGACGGGACAAATTGTAGCGATAAAGAAATTTATTGATACGGAAGATGACAAACTGGTTAAGAAAATAGCGGCCCGGGAAATAAAAATGCTGAAGGTTAGATGTTACCAAGGTCTTCACTTACTGACTGTTTCAGCAACTGAGACACGACAACCTCGTCAACCTCCTCGATATTTTTCGACGAAAAAGGCGCCTTTACCTCGTTTTTGAATTTGTTGATCATACTGTTCTGGATGACTTGGAACTGCACCCAAAGGGTTTGGACGAAGAACGAACCAGAAGGATTTTGTTCCAGGTTCTGCGAGGAGTGGAATTCTGTCATACTCAAAACGTAAGTGTACCCTTCCCAAGAGTTTTCCCCCTTGGGAGGAATGGAGAGCCACATCTCCGGTACTTTTTTTTGAGGAAAAAATTTAAGAAATCTGTGACTCCAAACGATCTATGCAACATGGTGAAACATTGCGGTTGTAATTAACCATAAGGCATTCACCACGCGTACAGCAGCCGAGGGACCAATGTCGCTGCAACAGCGGTGTTTCAGCCTGGGGGGTCCGTGCAGGTATTCTCCATGAAGAAAATTTGGAATGTAATTTCGGACAAAAAATGATCACAATTTAGAGAAGGATGCTTAGTGAATAGTGAAAACGGCGTTTGCCGGTTGACCTTCGTGTAAGATAGTGTGCTAATATAGTTTGAATTTGGTAGTAGGTCTGTTTGGATATGTATGTGTACATATTGCCGGCTCCGAATACTACGCTTCCAAAAGCTAGAAATGGCTAAGCTCGAGCTTCGTTTTACAACAGCCTAAGATAGCGGCTCAAAAGAAGGAAGCAGTCTACTTATTCAAATTGAGAAATGGCTTTTGTCTCTGCCACAATATACTCAAAGCTGCGGCACTGGCTGATGTTAAGAGATGTCAGTCAGCTACTGTTTGTTCAAACGTTAGTATATAGTGTATGGCTGACAGGATGAACATCAGAGTGGTATATGTTAATGATCCTGCTTTAGCGAATCGAGCGTTAGAACGACTGGTGTTTTTAGGCTGTCTTGTGTACGATTGCGGTTGTAGCCATGAGAGAATTTACGTGAATACCGGTTCATTTTAGTAAATGCGCTCCACGCACTCATCTGCATCCCAACTTGGTTTTGACAGGAAACCCCCCTAGAACTCAGCTGCACCTCTTGAAGTCGGCAAAGACCGGTGACCTTGAGAAGACGTTCACGACAGCGTTCCAGAGGGGCTTGGTAAACAGTCAGTAGTTTACAACAGGGCAATATTTCAGTTTCAAAGCCCAGCTGATTCTCTCGTTTATGGTGTTCTTTTTAAGCAACTGAAAGCCGCCTCATGTTTCAGCTGGACACATTTTATGAACGCAATATACTATTCATAAGGTTGCTGAAAACCCTTTGATAGCCCACGACCGGTTTCGCTCTTCTTGAGGCTTACCAAGTAGGCATGGCCGAAGGGTTTTTATCAATCTTATTAGGGCTTATGCTTATTTAATTGGTTCTGAATTTATCGTGAACACAGTTTGGTTCAACTTCTATGAAGCACTTGTTGTGGTCATTCAAAGTGCCTTTATTTTGGAGGCAATTACGTTAGGAAGGCGCAAATATCCAAGTTTACAACTGAAACTTCTTCCCACAGACTTTGCTTGATGTGATTAAACTAAATTATGTTTGACAAGAAGCGTGGTCATGTGAATGTATTTACAGTTAACGATGTTCACCTCATAAGTTCCCTGTATCATGTGATATTTTTGCGAATAAATAAAGTGCAAAAGCTAAAAGCTTTGGGTGCTGGTTTTGAAAGTGCCCTATATGAAAAAATGTTTATTTTATGTATTTGTGTCACCATTTAGATGTCATTTACTTTCAGTGCACAGTTTCCTGCTACCACTCGGACAGATGTTGACCAAAACATTTATTCTTAGGAAGCTCATATTTCTGGAAAAAAGGCGGTAATTTTGATTTTGACGAAACTTTTATCCAAGCGTAGCATTTTCAAATCTGATTTATTTGTCTCTTTTTTCCCGTACTGAAAGAGCAATAAAAGTTTATTTGGGCGCTTGGGAGACAGAGACTAAATCGATTCATGATACGTAGACAAACAGGCATTATTTGTTTTACTCATTCCACTGACCCTAAGATAACGTAACCTTTACGTGCTGGGTTTCTTCATAGCACGCCTACTGGCTCATTTAATCAATAGTACTTCCGACTAGAGACCATTTGGTACATAACCAAAACTACATAGTCAAAATTGTGTGTTCAAACTTGCTCTCTATTAATGACTTGTGCTTGCCGTGGAAGAATTTCGGTGTTATGTTTATTTGTTTATGTCGACTAAGTCAACACATGAAATGTACGTTGATTCGACGTTGTCTTCAGCTCAATTCCTCCTTTCAGAAGCACTTATGGCTAATTTAATGATAAAGAATGGCTTCTTGGTAATATTGGTTATCATTTAAGAGAGCAAATGTTTTTAAAACCACTGTTAGCGAGATTTGGAGCGCCTTTTAGAAGATTTTCTACAGGAGGACCTTGTCTCTTAATACAAACACTGAATGGCTTTCAAACGCCCACTACTAGTCGAAGCGCTCTGCGCCCATTACTTATTACCGCACTGTTGCCTCATCTGACACAAAGTTTGTTAAGGACTTTTCACACTCATTACTAAGCAGACCTCTTAAACACAGTTCCTTGGCGTAGTATGACCCTAGCAAATAATTTTGACAGGGTAAAGTTTAGAATAGCCACTTCTGCACCTTAAAATCAATTCTCGTCCTAGAAGTGTTAGTGTCGACTTTGACAGAACTGCTTACGACTGACAAACTTCACGGGCCTTGGCCTGGTGTGAGTTTGCAAAACTTGCTTTCAATACTTCGATGAAAATCTTCCACATGGCATTAAATTGGCAAATAACGACCATTTAACAAGTAATGAATTACGTCAAATATGTCCTCTATCGAATCTCTGCTTGGCTGTACTATTGACTGAGTTATGAATGGGACACCTAAAAACCACGAAAGTTCACGGCTTCCTGTATCCAATATCTATTATTCTAACAATGCAGCTTTTTCTTGTTAGCCCGAAAGTTCTGGATGATTGTATACAGCGTCTTAATCGAGCTTACATTAATTGTCATAAAACTTGGGTCGACAAGTTGCTCCCCAGACAGGCCATGTTACATGATACACTCATAAAACACATATTCATATCCCTATCTTTCTTAACCGTCAGGCCGGATTCCACTATAGGACCTGAGTGAATGGTGCACAGTCAGAATTTAGAAATACCTCCTGGTGTAGAGTTGTGGCAAGCCTGGGGATAGATCCAGGCTATTGTTTCAAGGACGTGGAAGAGCAAAACAAACGCAAGTACGCCATACGTATGACCCACAATTTCAGTACTCCTGGATTTCCGGGGCTGGTTCGACTCGGTTGATCGGTCTCTTTTCCTTTACACGCTTGCCTACCAAGGAATAACCCGGAAGCTTATAAACGTAATACGTTCCTTGTATTCTCAGACTTCCGGACGTGTGACAGTATACGGAGAGCTCTCCAAACGCTTCCGTACACAAAGCGGTGTCCGTCAGTAATGCTCACTCTTCCCAGTCCTGTTTAACTTTGTCATCGATGAAATAATGAGACGAACGCTGGAGGGTCTCCAAAACCCTGGTGTTCAAATAACCTGTGAAGAAAACCTTGTCGATCTGGAGTACGCAGACGACATCGTTCTCGTCTTCGAAGGGAAGGCGAAGGCGAAGGTGTTCTTGGATGAACTGACCAAAGTCATCCTATCCTTTTGTATGCGCTTTACACCCACAGATTATAAAAAACCGTTCACCTGTAGCACTCTTTTGGTGCCTAGCTGCCATGCCACATGAAGGAGGCACGAGGGCTGGGCTACTGCCAGGTTGCCTAAACCTAGACAGAGGAAGTCAAGAGGCCGCGGTCGGGTCCGAACCACCGACTTTCCGGTCAGTAAATTTGCGCCTTAACCACTTGATCCATCTTGCCTCTCCCCCACAAAGTGAAAGGTCCTGCTCGTAGACGTGCAGTCACCGAGCACGCCACTTACAATCCAGAAAGAGGTATTGGAGGTCGTGGAGCGTTTTACGTATCTTGGAAGTTGTATTAGTTCTGATTGTAGTGTGGCTGAGGTGAATGCACGAATCGAGTCGCGTTTGGTAATTTGATACCTATGACGTAAAAACGGTGTATCCCTGAATCTCAAGGGACGTATGTATCAAGCTACATTGCATGATGCTTTATTGCATGGCTGTGGGACTTGGCCTATCCGAGCAGCGGAACTGAAACATCTTCAGGTGTTCGACAATTGTTATCTCAGAACCATGGCTCGTGTGGGTTTGTGTTAGCGAATCCGTAATGAGGCAATCATAATGCGCGTTTGTGGTTGTGCTTGATGAATGTGTCCAGCACCAGAAGCTGCGTTGGTTAGGACCTGTGTCTCATTACATCATCTATGTAACAGCTTTTACTTCCTGATGCTTCAGAGGTAAATAGTTGACATCAGTTTCCCTCCGATAATCCTCTCTCTAGAACATAGCACCACAGTGACAAGCCACTGCTAGTCTGTTTTGAAGGCAACTGTATTTCTCCACCTATGATGACCACATATTGCTTATTAAACTTGTGATGTAAAGTGTTATAAGACTTCTTCTGTGTTCCGCTTTAGTACTGACTCTCGATTTCTTTCCCAATTTCAACCATTTTCTAACAGAGGGGCGAGCCTTACCGCTCCTTACTCACCCCTCAGGCACACGCCGTCAGGTTGTAATTTTTCACGACGTGCTAGGCACGACTGATCCGCAATTTTCGCTAACACCAATAATTCCGTTATGCCAATCGCCCTAATTGATCGACGTACGCCTGTGCTTCCAAAAACAAGCAAAGGTCACGTCCAATTGACATGAAGAAATGTTATTTCCGTTAGGAGGCTTATGTTCCGAATTGCCATCCCTGTGAACGACAGAGAAAAGTGTCACAACGTGGATGCTATGGCCAGCTGATAAGCGCTTTCAAGCATTACAAACAATCCACTGTCAGAACATCTTAATCACTTTTTATCGGGTATTAGGTGGTTGAGTTCAACCCACGGTAAGGAGCCCTAAAGATGGCAGCAGTCTTGAGCTGCTTAGCGCGTACCACACATTGTTGATGCATACTTCCCTAAATCAATTTGTCCTGGTTTCATGGGATGTAAGGTAGTCGTAAAAGGCGGTGGTGGTCCCTCCCGGTTATACATCGCAATCGGAGTTACAAGACCAATCAGCCGCTCGTGGCATACCGGTAAGTGTTCCGTCAACCAGAAGGTTGAGGATTCAAGTTTCCCTAGAATTTCGTGGGATGAACACTTCCGGTGAAAAAGCCGTACAATACTTCTCGGCTTTTCAGCATAGATTAACCCCACTTGCAGGACAATATCTCAGTAAAAGTGTGCCAATTCTCTTTGCTACTAATAAAACTTTCTAATGTCATCTACGATAAGGGAATTCATAGACCACACTACTGGTTGGGTTGTTCCACTAAAGGAGGTTAAACGGCTGTTAGTTGGTCAACCCCATCATCCAACTCCATACGTTGCCTACCACTGATCAACTCGGATCTACGTGACACAGGGTCTCTAATTCTTGACATGTTGCTAGGGTTGTACCTGAGAACAAGTTCCCTAAAACTAAACCTAGTCTATTCAGAAATGATTTTTGTAGTTTTTTATAGCATCCTAGCGCTGTCAATTATGTCGGTAATTGGGTGCAAATAACTCACCGTCCTAAATCTTACGATCGCTGAGCGTGCTTTCGGCTAGTTTCGTGGTATTAAAAATATCCATCATCCACAGTTAAATAAACTGCATAAAACTGCACGTTAGACTAAGGTTAAACAATACTTACTGTTGCCGTTAGTCTGAATAAAGCCTTCCGAAATGTTTCTCACGGCTTTTGTCAGCAATACTCTCCGCGATGAAGTTTCTCGCCAGCAACTCCGGGTATCGAAAGCTCAGACGCTCCCAAAAGAGATTAGGTGGCCACCCAGTTTCTTCATTACGCTTAAGTTCAATCCAATAACTTTGGAACTGAATGTAGCGAGCTGGTTCTATAGTTTTTACAAGTAAAAAATTAAAAATATAATTCCCATAGTTTTACTCCAACTAATCCATAGCTGTTTTCAGTTGCTTATAGATCGGTGACTATGTTTTCGGCGAAAAACGTTGCTGCAACCCAAAAGCCCTTAGAAGTAAAATCAATCGGCTTTCCTGAAGGTCTTTTTGTTATGCAGTGTGCCATTTCCTCATGGACTTGAACAAGTTATTATCTGCTATTTAGTTGTATGGCAGTTCTTGGCGGTACGAACCAATGTAACGACACCATGCCAAAACCTGCGTACGCTGGACCAGAAGCAATTTAAATTATCACTCTTGATAGGGGGTTAATATCCAATATAGACGTGTGCATCTGTCTGCGCTGTAGCAACCTTGCAGCACTAAAGTAGCCTGGTTCTTCATGCGGTATGCAACTCTGTCTGCCTTATGATATCTCCCTCAGGCAGTACCCGCCCTGACAGCAACGGGCCACCCGCCTTTGGTTGGTGAGTAAGTTTCTGAGGCTCAGAGAAAACGTGTCGTCCTATGAAGAACCATCAGAACAATAAAAAGTTAACGTTTTCGTCTCTCAGCAGTTTTTGTCCACAAGAAATCGTAAACAGGGGACTGAGTGAACGGTGAGCAGTAGTCCCTTTTTCGCTAACTTGTTGGATGCGTAGTTCCTGTTTCCTCGGGATACTAGGGTGACAAACGGGCTAACCGCTATGCTGATCAACCAGCAGCGTAGCAGAGTGATGGATCCAAAATGTGCTCCCATCTCACCTTGTCACCAGAGATATACAAAATAAGTTTGTTTACGCACGAAAGTTGAGCCATGTGAAAATAAAATGTACGTGGCTTTTTGTTACCCCTAACTTTAATTCGCCTATGATATAGTGTGGTGCCTACTGTTACTGTGAGCACGTCGGATTAAATATCATCGCGAGATACCAGGCTGTCTGCAGGAGACACGAAAGCTGTTCTATTATCACGAGAGATAGGATAGTGGATGTCAAACGCAGGCTTCGAAAATAAGTCCTACCGTTTTTATCTTTCTCTGATGTTAATGGATGAATCGCCCCACGAACCACATCGTTTCTAGACATCTAGCCGGAAATCTCACTCCTTGTGGTTGTACATGCTGGTTGCTGTTATTTTTAGTTTTTCGACCCTGGAAATAGAGAAGTCCTCTTCCTTTTTTCCACTCACCATAAAAAGCCAATTTTCTAGAAACCAGAGAGTGACGCTCACAACATAACTGATATGAACCTATGCGTGACCAAACCATTCCTCCTGTCCTTACCTTTGGTCAAGACAATTGGCAAGACTGGAGGGCTACAAAAAAGAAGCTATTTTGATCTCGAGCCCCTCCTCAAAAAGTTCATATCCCGCATGATGGGGTTTTGGTGTGAACATCTCGTTTTATCCCGCCCCTAAGAACAGGTGCCCCGAGAGATTACCTGATCGCAACACGTAACTTGTGCAGTTAAGTACTTACTTAAAAACACGGATTGTGTTTAATGATATTTCAAATGGATTTCGCGTTTGTGATATTCTTCAACCGAATCTATCGCAAGAAAGTGCCTTATCTCGCAACTGTAACGATGTCCCAGATGTCTATGCGTCTACACTGCTTATGAGTTTGAAGGGTCTTCATCAGCGTTATAAGTAATAAACCGCAATAGAATTTTTAAAGTAAAAACAGATAGCATTATGGACGAATACTGATGGAGCCATTGCTGCTAGTTTATCTTCAATACGAGTAAAGGCTGTGTTCAAACCCTCACGTATTAGCTACTGAGCGCCATTTGCTGGCTAATCTGGTTATCATCCCAATCTACATTCGAAAAAGGTGGGTAATAAGTAGGCTAAACCATTACCCTATTTCCCGGCCTCAAGGCACAAGCCGATTTACACTCAGAGCTTGTTGGTAGTAAAGAGGTGTTGAAGTTTCGAGCGAAAGCAGGACCTTCCAAAACTACGATGCACCAAAAATATTGGCGGGTCAATTAGACGGACGGCGGCCGATAAGCCACCCGACTAGGAGGGAACCAAACCGTAATGTGTCAGAGATATAAAGAACCAGAGGGCCTAAGTCATCAGTAGCCACTCAGGTCTGAGATATAAGCTGTCCTTATCTAAGCCATATACATTCAGGCATGATAGGAGAAATATCCACCGACCGCCGTCTCCTCGAATGATGACGAAACGTTTGTCAGTCAATTGCTAAGCCCGGAAAAGTAGTCGACGACTGACGAATGAGACATCCCTTAGCCAGTAAGTCAGTGTATACCGAAACAACTAGTAGCACTGTGCAGCTCACGTTATGTACCCAGTTGCAAAATAACTTTCTATTAACGGGAGACTCAGCTGATTATCACTTGTACCTCTGGTTTGTAATAGCCCCCAAATGGGTGCGCCGCATTTCAGTTGGAACGATATTCAAAATACCTTGAACAACACTACTTGTAAAGCTGGTGAGTTTTCATCAGAGAGTACTGCGTCATGACAGTGTACAGTTGCTTTATCCTTGTCGAAGATCATCACTAGCGCACATTTCACGAATCGATAGGGAGATTCGCACACGACCTCTTACTGTCTATGGCGAATTCAACGGACATTTATTGAATGTCGTCGCAGCAAAAGCTCGGAATATTTTGTATTCACCCTTTCATCACGATAAACAACAATTTGTTACTGCATATGAAAAGTTCCATCGAGTTCAACCATTATCCGACAGCCAACTGAACATTGAATTTGGAGATTGATTACCACATGTGTTGGGAACTGACCCTAATTGCTGAGCCACGAACAGAGTGAAACAGGCAGCCAGAAATCCTCGCATACTTTCGTATGTGAACTAGGACAATTTTGTTAGATTTCTTCGCAAAGAAATCCGAAGATAGCCGTCTGAACAGGGAGGCTATTACTATCGCATTAACTATGGTGGATTCCATTGAACCTTAAAGTCATGTCATCCTACAACTAAATACAAGTTCATAAGAACTTAACTGATCGACGGTATTCTAACTCCTGATGTTGGGCGTTGCCTGTAGGTTTTCTGGACCTTACTTTTCCAACCTGCGGTTGAACTGTTCTGTTCGCGTATTTACTAGGAACGGTATCCGATCTGTTGTGGATGCCAACCTTTCACGGGTATAGAGCGCGTGAACTTTCGACACTGCAAAAATTAACGTTGAACAAGAAGGTAGTTTGGAAGGAGCTGGATCTCTGTTCTTTCACTCATTGGATAAACTACTACCAACTGGGCACCCACTGACATTTGTCTGGCGCCAAAGTTTCACAAATGGACATTCTAACTGACTGATTTATCACACAGTTGCTGGCCATTATGAGGCAGTTAGGTCACTGCACCAGTTTTTCGCCAAATGGAGTGTATTGCCTCGTCTCTTATCCTTTTGTTTACACGCTCATATACCTGAGTTTTCTGCTCTAGAAGTATGAATAATGCCTACGGCATTAGTGCAGCTTTACTCATCTTCGCATGCATTGTCCAGATAAATATTCGCTATAGGGTCATACATCCACATAGGTGGCGTTCTCCGTTGTTCCGCGGGAGGCGCCTTAAGCAAACCGTATATTGTTCACCATCCTGGAATAGAATCATTAGTTCATTCAACTACAGAAATGAGCCATGATTTGATAAACTGCCAAGCAAACAAAGCTCACGATCGTTTTAAGAGTTTATATTTTGGCTGTTCACAAAGGTCCCGCTGACATTGGAACTCATTTTTCTGTGAATTGCCATCCTTCGTTTCGCTTATGCCCGAAAAATGAAAAGTGATATCCAAAAAGTGTACCGCCTAAAAGCAGGTCTGTCTTGGATAAAGATAACCAGTGGTGATTTTTTCTATGAGGAACGTAGCGGAGTACTCACCGTGCTCTGTACCACCAGGGAGTAACCTACCGCGCTATTCGCTTCGTGCCTGATCGCCCATGCATGTCTGAAATTGGATGTCGCCTGTTTCTTCGCTAGGTGTGCGCCATCACGTCTTTTCTTCTTCCCTTATAGTTATAGCAGTGTTGCAACAAATATTTAATTTTCATCCTCTCTTTTGCAATACTGTCACCGTACATTGATGTGAACCTTAATATTCTGCGCCATCTCACTGCAACTTCATGCGAACACGCCGTCTTCTTTTATGAAAGTGACAGCTACAGTCCGGTTTAGTTTTCTTATTGTATGAATTCGTTACCTGGAATTTCAAGCATAATAGCAACAACGCCGAAAGCATGGAAAGCTTTCAATGGGAATAAGCAAAGTGTGTTTTATACCGTGTCCATCATAGTCAAGGAAATAAACCTATGGAAAATGTTGGCACAGAATTTCTAGGGAATGATTTTTTAGCTGCATAAACCTCCAGAGTATAGTTGAAGTTAGTAGGGAAATGGACACCGAGGTAAGCGTGGTAACTAGCTATTCCATCACTTCGTTGTTTTTCAACAGCCGTATGCCGGTGAATGCTATCGCGAACCTGTTAGTCGGTTAACTAACTAAAACAGCCTCACCTAGTACGATCCCCTTGAAGTCATCCCAAAGCATTCGTTGCCAACTTAGATTCAGGGCTTAATTAACTACTGTGGACAGTACACAGTAGACCGCCGGACATTGTTCTCACCTTTCCGGTGATACCAGCACAACATTTTGGAAAAGAAAAACCTGTATGGCAGCATCTTAAAAGAGCCAGACTAATTGTCACGGATCCACTTTTGAGTACACTAAGTCATTCAGAGGTCGAATTCATCACGCAGTCCCCGATTCTACAGAGAGCCCCTGTATAAGCCCATGCAGAGGATACTGCCACACATACTGGTAGTGGGTACTGATGATTATAGCTATTTAAGTAGACAGATAGCATTTAACAGAAATTGCATACTTGGATTTTCCTGATTTCCAGTTCAGAACAGATGGTCTGCGCATGTATTAGGTCGATTTCAACAGCGGAGGCAGTTAGGATATGTTGAGATATCACTCAAAGCAACCAGACTCGGGAATTTTCCTCTGAGCTCATGACATCTATGTCATTTGGGCATTCGGTGAATCCGTGCATATTGTTTATCAAGACTAAATCACATGTGAACTTCACACATTCGAGGCAGCACTTTTGTAAGGGAATAATTCTAAGGGACAAACGAAATTCTCTAGTCTTATTTTTTACTACACTTTGAAGTTGTTGAGCGAAGATGTGAACGCCATGCTCCTCCTTCCTATAGGTCGAGGTTGCATCGGATTCTTAAGGTTTTTTGTTCCTCATCGTATGTCTGTCGCTTCAAATTCCTGATCGGCACGGCACGTTTGACACTGCCTGTTCGATGATACGACACGATGCTTCGTTCCTCTATTTCTGGAGATCGTCCACTGCAGATGAATCTTCCGACGATCACTTGAACACAGCTCCAGAAACTACACTTCCATGCGCGTTACTCGAAAAGGTCTGCGCTGACATCTTATTTGATCCGCCATCAAGCTAGCTTGGACGTGGTCTGTGAACCATACGTTTTGCATAATGGTGCACAGATGCATTCGAGTAAATGTCAGTTACCTTTGAAATAAGTGGATGCTACCGTCAGCAGGATGCCCCGTATACGAGTAAATGAGTGTGACTATGTGTGAGTGAATGTCCTATGTTCACGGCTACACACGTTTCACTGCGTGCGTTGTACCATTATTCTTAGGACCCAGGTAGTGTGCCGTGAATAAAATGGGAAAGCCTCCAAGTATTTTTGAGTAGTCTGGGAAACAGACATCTTGGCGTGGGACTTTTGCGAGAGTGAGTGTACAAGGCAAAAAGGATGCAATAACGCTGGTAATCTGCGTGTCCACGCTAGTTATGCAGCCAGTTCCTTATAAGATCCAATTTCAAACTCATACTTCAGCGTTATCAGTGCGTTAAAAGCCGGTTATATATCCCAAAATAACGAGGCAGTAAACGTAGTAAGTTTTAGGTCTTTTCCTCTTCGTCTATATACTTATCGCATGATAGCTGGGCTTCTGAGCATGTTCCTGCAAAGAAAATGTGCGTCCCAAAATGCAAACTTCTGTGGGGTGTTTGCATTTGATGGAAGTGTAGGAGCTGGTGCGGACATACGTATCCCATGGACGTCAGTACATTTTTATTGGACTGTGTCCAACGAAAGAGTGAGTATTGAAGTGAAGTTTTCGTATCCGATCGCTTTGCTGTCACTTTTTTTGACGTACTAACACCACCCTACTTCCGGTACCCATCCAGGTTATTCACCGTGATATAAAGCCGGAGAATGTACTCATCAGTAAACGCGGTGTGGTCAAGCTTTGTGATTTCGGATTCGCTAGAGCGTTGGCCGCTCCTGGAGAGGTGTACACGGATTATGTAGCAACGCGGTGGTATAGAGCCCCGGAATTATTAGTAGGTGACAGCAAATATGGTCGGTAAGTTTCCTCTGCTCAAAAGCATACATAAATTTTTCACGATTGACATTCAAAGAGTACCTGATGTGAGCTCACTGTGCCTCATCTATTTTCTGTTTCTGTGATGCAACCTACCTAGCTCATCTTCCTTGAGAATAGGCTCCGCATAAATGATCAACTGGTCGTGGTAAATGACTATTCGGCAGCGCCTCAGTGTTTTAACTACTACCTTGGTACATGATCACCCAGTGCCATCGAAGCGAATCCTGTTGCCTTTCGATCACTTGTGAAGTGGGCCTGTTTTTAATTTCAAGGTCCGTACCCTTTTCGTAAAAGCTGGGGCTAATTTACTGAGCATTTGGTTCTGATCAGAACTCATTGGACAAACATAACAGGATCGATCTTGATGCGCCTTGGTAGGCAGTTTTTTTCCACGGCTGATGGTAGCGCCATGCAATCATCAAGCACACTCATGTACATTACTTTTATAACTTCAAGTGCACTCTCCTTTCAACACTAGCTAAACCAAGATATCACTTGAAGCCATCATCCTTACTATATATACCAAGTCACTGTTATTAGCGTGATAGATGATTGGTCAAAAGACTCAGTCACTCACTCCGCTAGTGTTAATTTGACCGTAATTCAATAGGTATTAGATATACCTGGCCAATTCAGTCTAAGCTGAAGAGCTGAGAACGACTCATTCTTGTTAAGCTGCGTCAGCATTGTCTATCTCATGTAGCTATTGGGCGACTGGAACCCGTGATCTCTCTTTCGGTCGTAAGGGACTACACGGTCCCAACGAGAATACTTGATCAGTAGTGTGATTAACTGACACTCATCCTTCCGTCACGCAATTCACATCAAATGGTGTCTGACTTCTCGAAAAAAGGGCTTCTCACAAGAAAGAGCTGTTCCACTTGTGGCTTTTCTTTCTCCAGCCATTTTCTTGACAGTACCAGAAGATCTTGGACACTCCCTTAGGTTTCACAGCAATGTAAAATTTCATGACTATTAGTGAACAATTTACGTCTTACGTCCGTTCCCCCGGCTCCCAGCGAGATTTTTCCCACAGTGTTCATCTATCGAGGTATTGAAAAAGGAGAATGGATAAGTGTACAATGTGTGGCCTGTTCAAATTTGTCACGGGAAACCTTTTTTTCCAGTTTCATTCCACCGGTATGCAACACGTGCTTTATCGGGTCCACTGAATGCTTGATTCATCTGCCATTTAATAGTCGCTAGCGTTTTCTGTTGAGCGACATTTGGTCAGCTCATTGGTGTGACTCGTAACATTTTCGGAAGCTCATTACGATGTTAGTTACTGGTTTTTGTGTTGCCTAAAAACAAGGCTTATTGATCAAATGCGGTCTGCCTATAAATATCGTCGTAACTTGCCTGTTAAACTCGACCATTGCAGCTATGATAAATCGTTTTTTTAATTGTACTTTTTAATCGTCCGGCTGTAACACCTCCGGTGTCAAGATGCCATACCACTCGAAGGAAATACAAGGGCAGAGATACTACCGGCTTTCTCAAGCTTAGATAGGAGCAATAGAGTTGGGTTCGAAACGCGGATGCTCCGGTCAATAAATTCCCATCTTAAGCACTAAGCTATCTCGAGCGACATCTTATCGCTTTCAGTTCAGACTGCACAACTAATCCGTTTACGGTGAGCCAAAAGATAAATGATTTCTACAAGACCTTCAGTCCTGATATTCATGTGTTCATGTTAACAGATTTACCTAGGTGCATTTGCTTTCCACCTGATTGCTGAACTACCTACGCAGTCTTTCTTCGGAAGACTGTCGTAGTTTAACTGCAAACTCTTTGAAAAGGAGTTCAATATGTTTGAGGATACACTGTTTTGCGTTGGCTATGCTAGTCGTTAAGGTAATATAGGAGACTCAACTTGACAAATAGCTGGATAATTTCATCACAATGAAGAGACACTGATAAGGAAAAGAGTGCCAACTCTGAGTCTCAACAACTTTTCATTCGGTTCAACAGGAGACACCATCATCCAAATCCTCATATTTATTTAGACCACAACGTTGGTTCACCTACTAGCGATCATAATGTGACCAAAGGAAGAAAATGCCCCTCCCACTCAATGTTCACTACACTATTCACCAAACGGTCACATTGGTGGGTAGCCACTGATATCTGCGTGAACGAGAACTAGACTTTTTTATGGGGATATCTGTAGCCATCTATTTGGCTTACTAAAGGCCCTTTGCTGCACTCTCACTCACGATCATTAGTTCGACCCCAGGCAGGTCTAACATAAGCTTTCATCGGCCTTTCCAATTTACGTTACCAGATGCTCTCTAACCGCTCCACCTAACCGATATCGTATGGAACAAAAAGGAATCACTTGCACTGTCAGGCATGACAACCAAATTCTTTGATCCTCCGACCAACGAGCTAGGTTAGGATCTATGGACATCCCGGCTGCCTCCGCCATCAGCTGGTTTGGGTTCCAAATAAGCCGTTTTCCCACTGGAGATAATCTTTTCAGACCTCCAGCTTTTGAATTCACGCTCCTATGATCGCACATACAAAACGCTTGTATATCCATGTGCTTACATGCCGATGGCCAGGTATGTGTCTTCTGCCGTCGTGCATAGTATGATGTTTAATATTCCGCGTTGACTGGTAGTCTAATGGACCGAATATTTCGGCATTGAAAAAGTACCGTTGTCTGTGCAGTGCAGTTGACTCCGAGCACAACTTCTCGGTTCATGCTCTGGGCTAGCTACGGATTCTATATATCCGAGCTCAATCCACACTCGTAGTGATCACTGAAGGCAACTTTTACGATCGACATGACGGATCGCTTGCTGTTCACCACACGGAACGTAGTTGAAAGGTACACATCACTCGGGGCAATCAGGTCACAGAAGGCTTTCATTCAAATAATCAAAGCCTAATTGGTATTCAGGTCATTTTATCAACCTTTTTGGAGCTTAACCCTCCTGAAATGCTATACGTCGCTTTCCGGTTCATAAAGAAATTCATGGTATCCTCGGTGATTGAAATAACCAGCCGTTAAAAGGATTTCGAGCAAATTGAATGATTACGAAACTCTTACTAAGACTAGTATCGTTTGTCTTGTCCTGTCTTATTTTGGGTTAACATTGACCCGAGAGAGACGAGTTCGCTATACGTGTTTTAGTCCGCATTTTGTCCTCAAAAACTCGCGATTTTCTGGCCTATTTTATACTCTGTAGGATGAGATGTTTGAGTCCGTCGTTCGTGACTCAGAGCATCTGGACCCAGGTGTTTCCGTCTTACCTCTGAACAAGTACAATACAAATTTCGGCTCACAGACTATCGTAATCTTAATCTGATCCCTGAAATTCAAGAAAATATGGTGATCAATAAGGGATTGAGTATTAAATAACTGTTCAAGTTGTTTTGTTATCTTGTATAAACGGTTTTCTACTCACGTAGTTTTTAACATGTAGATCACGCTGAGTGTGCACGTCACCGCGCGCAGAATGCACGATGTTATTGTTAACAAAACAAGTATACTGTGAGTTTACCTCTATTCGCATCACGTCAATGGATTGATATAAAGTGTTTTCCACGGTTGTGATACGGTGCTAGCTCTGTTGTACTTTACGGAAGGGCGATTGTGCGACATCTTCAGCTTGTTCTTTTACGTATCCTTTTGAAAGTGAGTGATGCAGTCAAAATCCAGGTGGACATAAGCGGTTGGACATAAGCGTTTCAGATGAGCATCCCGTAGTTGAGAACGCAGCCACTGCGTATAGTGTCGTTATACGGTACAGTGAGAACAGTCCGGCTGACAGTTAAAGACTGCATCGTCCAGCCACAAGCATCTGATCAACCAAGTGATAAACTCACACTTAGGCAGGATGGAGAGCTACTCATCCTTCAATAGCGGAATTTCCCTCTCATGGTCACGTGTTTGTTGATCAATTGGTATTGTCCGCCGAATCCCAGCATCCGTAGTCCTTGGTTGCTTAAGGAAATACTTGTCCCGGGCCAACAGAATGAACTGTGGTCAGGAGGCTTCTTGCAGTCGGATTATAGATTGGCTACCAGCTGAATTTCGTCTCACGCAGCCCATCAGTTAGTTACGTACGTGTCGAGCGATCCTTTGAGAGGTGTAGCGGTCAGTTCTGTAGATTTACCTGCCACCGCAAGTGTGGGTGAACTGAGAGGTCGCATAGTCTGTTGAAGTTTACTCCTCGAAATTGGCCAGTTCGAAGTCTCAGAACTAGGGGGTCTGGGTTATCCTTGTTTACTTTTCTAGAGGCGCCTCTTAGCGATTGTTGGTTTGTTTGATTTTTCGAATATATAATCCCCTTTAAATGGTTGTTGCAAGAAAATATCTTTTATTTCGGATTCGTTTTTCGCCGGCTACATAGTTGGACAAAATGTCCCTTGGAGACGCTCTCTAGTGGGGTTTCGAGATTTTTTCTTCTCTGGGCACTTATTGGGAGTTCAAGTGTCTCCTGCTCTACAGAACAGAGTTTTAACGAAGGAAGTTTTATAACTCTTGTGCATTATTTGAAAAGTTGAGCGTTTCAGGTTGCTTTACAATTGGCCACGCGGGTTAGTTGTTGTCAGGTCTTATTTTGAAGGTGGAATTGTCGTTCGTCTCTCTGTTGGAAGATATAAATCGGGGTGAATATTTTTAAGACCGAAAATGACTTGAAACGTTTTCTTGGCATGACACACTACTCGTGAAACTGAGTAAAACGGCTCAACCGGTCAACAGCGGTTTTGCCTTTCTTGTAGCTGATCAGGTAGGTACAATTTCCGATTTCGTCGGCGCGATTTGGTTGATCAGATAATATTTCTCATCACCATGATAAATTAATTGTCGTAAGGTTGTTTTTCCTTACAAAATCGCACCCTATGGTGAGTTCATATGAACGCCCAAATTGCAGTTGGTGAGCCGGGAAGGAAAGCTGTGTGTTTATCTTGAATAAGGAAGCCATTCTGAAGTCTTTTTGTCTGGCTTCATTTGTGTGTTTAAACGA